CTGAGCATTGTTTCACAATATTGGCTGCTGATTCAACATTTGGAGCTTTATGCAGCAAGAAATGGGTAAAACAAAATGACATCTGCAGCAGGGTAAATTGTTGAAGACCCACCTATACAAATGTCAAAAATTCTACTAGCCTTTTGAGAATGAAAACGTCCACAAGTTACTTCTACTTTCTATTCTTTGGGTGCACACACATCCTTTTTATTTAAATCTCTTTCGTCTTTCAGAGTTAACTAAACATTTAATTTGAAGATACAAATCCCACAGGACATGAGATTGTTTGCACTTATCTACAGATTTTTTGTGGCTATTAAATACGAAGGCATGGACTACCTCCCTCTGATTATCCATTTCTTAACTCTGTTTTCGAAGTTGTATGTACTGGGTAAAAACTTATTCTGAGACAAATATGATAGCTATGTATTCTAAAACATTTTTAATGTTTTTAAGTTCTGTATTTTGTGCCAATAGCAATACTTGCAGGGGGGGAATTAGAATATTTTTAAGAGGAGCATTCTTTGTGATGGGCTACATCCATGCAAATACCATGGAGTTGCAGACCATTTTGATCTGTTTCCTGTGTGTCTTGGCAACACTCCTCAAACTGTACCTTTTGAGCTGTTATCTCTTCCTTATGTCTTTCATCACATCTAGATTCTCACAGAGCATCTTTGGCAGCAGGACAGGCTGTTTCAATAGCTCTGTTTCAGTTTTATTCTTCAGTTGTCTATTCCCACAGGAAAACCCTTCTGTATGGCATCTGTCTTGGCTTCCATGGGGATATGAAGCTGTGGCCATGGTATCAGACACCTGAAATCAGTTCACAGATTGCTTTGAATTGTCTATTTCCATCTGTACAAATAGTCACTTGTTGGATTTTGGATATTGAGAGCAGGTAATTTAAGTGGAAATGGCAGTGAAGGACAGGCAGGGTCTGCTTTTATGGAGTTGGTTTAAAACTAAGTGGTTATCAGGACTTGCCTCTACTTCTGCCCCTTCATGCCTTGAACTAGGAGCAGCCACTCCAAAAATGCAGGCTTGGGTCCATGGATTATTGGACCTGGCATTTGCCCTAGAACAGTGGTTCTCAAAGTGTGGTCCTCAGACAGCAGCAGCAGCAGCACCAGGAACTTGTTAGAAACACAGATTCTCAGACCCCACACCCAACACTGAATCAGGAACTCTGGGGTGGGCTGGGCAGAGTGTGTTTCAACAAGCCCTCCGTGTACTTGTGCTGCAAGCTCACGGTTAGCAACTGTGACTGTTAAAAGAGCAGAAGCCCAACCCACAGGCACATTTTCTTTACTTATGAATGTGTAGTGCATAAAATACAATTTCAGACTTTAGAGGGAGGTACCCCACAGATGAACCTCTATTCTCATTCCTTTTTCATCATTTCTGTTTTTAAATATATTAATAGTGCTCCCCCTGCCCTAAAACACATTCTTTATGTATCATTTGTAAAAAGTATCTGTTGCCACCTTCTTTCAGCAGTAAGGGTTTAGTTCACTTATACTCCTTTCCCTTTTCTCTCCTGCCTCTGACTTTTTTATCACCTACATTTTAAAATTTTGTTTCTTGCAGAGGTT